GTCCTGAATTTTTCTGCCGTATATTTTTCTCCAGAACACCACCTATTTCTCTTCCCACTTCTTGCCCTCTTACCATTGAATACCACTTTTAAAAAAAGTAATCTCTCTTTTAGACTATATATTCTCTCAACCACTATATGACATGTAGTATGTTAAGTTTTATTTTCATGGGAGAAGCTGGATCCTGGGTTGAAGAAATATTCCCTTGTTCACCAAGAGCATGTCAGAAATAGCCTGCTCTAGACTTGTATCAGCACAACCGAACAATAGAATTTTCTCAGACTTTGCATAAGGACTCAAAAATAAGCAGATTGAATCCATTTTAACACGAATATGGGCAAGCATTTTCTTTCATAAAATCCTTTCAGAGAGGAGCTAACCCCACAACTTCATTATGATTGTTAAATCCACACAGCAGATAAGCAAAACCTCAGCAAGGGTTCAGATTAGCCAAAATCATTTGATCACGATGAGTCAGAAGGCGAATTAAGGAATCTTTTGTTTTGCCTTAAAATGTCACGGTATAAACTGCATCTGCTCAGGAGCTGACTCACAAGACCCTCAGACAATAGGGTAGTGGGGGCAAGGAAAGGACTTGGGGAGATAACCTCCGCTGCCAGCCCAGGCCAGAGCGTGTGTGCTCATCAATTATAATCCAAGCTTTTGAATGTGAGAGAATAAACTGTTGGTTCGGCTTTGCTAAATCAAATCTTTTTGCAGGGTTTTAGAATTCGGAAATCAATACTTTAAAAGGATTTTAAAATTCATATTTGCCTTCCCTTTGACTCATCTCGTTCCAGCTAGTTCAAACACAAGAAAATGGATGGTCAGCAAACCCCAAGCAGCTGCTGCCTGGATTAATATCTAAAAATCAAACTATTATCTACACTATCCAAGCCTCTCAGTTCAGAAAAATGGAAGTGGGAAGACTCATAATCTGATTTTTTTTATTTTTCATGCCAGAAACACTCAATAAAAATGTCTTGCAATATATCAAACTTTTAGTCACGACAATAAGCCTGCAGGAAAGAAAAAAAATGAAAAAATTTTCAACTTTTCTCTAGATCACACAAAAAGAAAAAAACCTGATCAGCTCAGAGTTACTGTGAGCTTGGGGTGAGAAAGGAATATCAAGCAGACTGATCTAAATCAGTTTATCGTCCCTAGTAACAAAGGATAAAACTTGTAAATACATGAAGAACGTTGAAATTCTTAGCAGAAATCAGCCTCAGAAAAACAGTCTCTGTCAAAAATCCAGCAAGCATTGTTACCTACAAAAACAATCCATTATCATTTTCTGTATTTATTTAAATCATGGAAGCGCACATGGATTTGAAATGAATCACTTCTCAACTTCTCACTCACTAAAGCTTGTCCTAAGCTGTCTGTCGGGGAAATGAGAGGTGACTTGGTAACTGTCTTAAAATTGTAACACCCATGTAAAAATAGTATCATAGTTAAATAGTTATCATAGTTAAATCATGTGAAATAGTATTTAAATGTGTTACTGTAAGGCCAGATTCAACACTGTCTTGTTTTTTTGTTATTACTTTGATGGGTATAGGATCAGGGTCTTGTAACTGCTCTGCATATGAATCTAACAAGAAAAATAATTATAGTAATAAACTACACGATAAATAGCAGCGCTAAGTTACTGGAACAACTAAATAAAAGGATACACTTGCATTTAAAACTTTTTGCTGACATGACAGAGGAATGATAGCACTGAATAGACACTGTTGTTCTCTGACTGTTCCAGTATCTAATCAGATTATTTAATGTGGCTGTTTGGAGTGAATGCACAGATGCAGTCATTACATTTACTGCACAGAGGACAGTGAAATTCATTAAAATCCCAACTCAACAGGAAATCCTTCCTGATGCCGCGCAGAGCCGGAGGGAGTCCCGCAGGCCGGCGCCGCGTGGCTCCCAACGGCAGCTGGGGGCCGGGAAGGTGTTTGCTGAGCGAGGGCTCCTGTGAGCCCCGTGCGAGCCCTTGCGTGCCTTTTGTTTTTATTTCATTCCTGCTTTCTCAAATTATTTGGGGCAGTCAGACGGACGTGGCGGGTGTCAAGCACAAAACTCTCCCCAACTTGGTTTCTTTTCCTCTGCTTTAGGCTTTAGGAACAGGTCCCTTGCTGGTGGTTTTCAGCATCTGAAATAATACGAGGGATGGCAACAGGCAAGATAGCAGAAGATATGAATTTATAATGTGTTTAATAGACTAAGTATTAGCACTAATTCAATGAGCAGTAGAAGAAATTGTAAATGACAAAGGCATTTACAGTTAACTGTCTAAGAGAATGCAGGGAAGTAAATCATTACATGAAAAAGGAGCTCCTTTTCTCAACCTACCCTATTAAAAGCCCCACTAAAGAGCCAAGGCTTTCTACTTTCCCACTGCCGAAACTAAGTACTCCTCTATTTACTTTGATTTAAAAATGCATTATTGTCTACTTTCTAATAAACCAGACAGTGGAACAAGAAACTCAAATTATTCTAAGTTTATTCTTAAAAGTCCGTTTTTTTTGTGGTTTTTTTTTTTTTGAAAGACTGAAGGCCTTAATCCTTAAAAGCCTTTTTGAAAGAAATGTTACTAGATGCTGGCCTTGCAGCTGGGCCCAGATTGAAAGTGCACTTACATTTTTATGTTTAGCGCTGAAGGACTCTGAAGTTAGCCCTCGCACTCCACATAAAAGCTTTGGAAAGGGCATTCTTTGCCACTCGTGCAATTCATTCTCTAAGAAAAGGAAATGGAAAGAAAGATTTCATGTCCAGGGCTTCAGGCCTTTGATCATTTGATGAACATTGGATCCTCAACCTGGGCCTCCAGCTTCTCAGGCCAGACAAAGAGGGCCCCGGCCGCACAGGCTGGGCCTCGGTTCCCGCCCGAACAAAACCTTTGGCGGCCGCACAGTGTGACAGCCTGGGAAAGGCCCACCTCAGCAGGGCTGAGATGCCCGCTCTGCCCTTTGATCTTTCATTTAAACCCCAGCCAAAGCACCAGGTCAGGGGATTTCGCGTCGCACACCCCCACGGGCAAAGGGGAGCAGGTCAAGAACAAAATGGGGGTGACCGATCTCCAAAAAGCCCTGTGACGCCTTTCTCTGGCCAGTTTCACATGACTTGTCTGGCATTGTGAAGCGCTAAGCCCACACTTAAAATGGAATTTGACATTACATGGTACAATGGAGTCAATAAATGGCATTCTTCAGTGCTTTTACAACAAAGTCAACCCTCCCTTAAGTGACTGAAAGCCCCAAGCTAGAAAATACTTCTCATTTACTTCTTTATGCGAGTAAATTGTATATACTTTAAATCTAGTTTTCATTATGGCTTCTCATTGCTGATGACTGAAATGAGCTTTACAAATACCTAACAAAGGTCTACATTAATTTTACGACATACCATTGCTTCTATTTTTAAAGACCAGGTTGTCACGTGGCACGTAACAAGCACTGGAAAAATCTCCATATTCCTTCACAGAGAGAAAACCTATTTTCCAATGAGCATGAAAAACTAATCTCATCCCACTGAAAAAATTATTTTCAGTACAGTGCTAAGGAGAAGGCAAACACACAACTGCTTTTAACATCAGCAGCAAGTTTCACAGGATGCTCGTGGGCAGAAAATTAAGTCCATGTTTGACAAGACATGTTAACAGTCAGAATACAGAGAGGAAAAAATGCTAAACTCTTCTTTCTAAAGGGACAGGATGCCACTATGTCTCATAGGACTGGGATACGCAGGATGGAATAGATGACTGCAAAACATGCAGAATATTTTTAAACTACATGCAAAAATATGTCTATGTTAGAAGATTTTAAACAACTGTAAAGTGATTAGAACTCAAAGAACTAAATATTGTTTCTCTATATAAATTAATATATGTTTTCACAATTAATCCTTTTTCTTTAAATACACACATGTGCATAATGCCAGATCAAGGTAGCTTAAGTACTCAGCTTAAGAAAGGCAAATAACTATTTTTTGTTTATTTTCAACCTCTCAAGATTTCTTTTCCTCTTAAAATGCAGTTCTATGAAACTGTGATACACACATGGCCAAAGGCATGAGGAAGGGGTACAATACATAAATAAAGTTGCCTATGATGCCCTTTTAACATACGGCCAGGTTTACATGCCCACTTTTACCCTCCTTCCTTTTGAAGACAGTATCAGTATTAAAAATTTGGTTTAGTTCTAACATAAAAAGATTATTTCAGTGTATCTCAAGTACTTCCCACCATGAACCATTTACCAATCAATAAAAAGTAGAGGAATGGTCCCAATCTCTAGAGAATCTATAGACTTCATTTTAAACAAACAACAGTATATATTTATGTTGATAGATGATTTCCCACTTCCTAAAATTACATCTCACAGATAAGGAGACAAAGGAACAGAAAAGTTAAATAAATTTTTCAGTATTAAACAGACAGTGGCAGAGCTGGGAACAAAGCATTAGCTGATTTATTTTCAGTCCTCTGTCCTGTTCACTACAGTCTTTTTCCTCCTATGCGACAAATTTGTGCAGCACATGCGGCATGTCTGCTACCAGCTCTTCTAGGCGCTTTGGTGGCAATGGACAGCTACAAAAAGAAAAGTAATCACGTTTGACCCTCGTGGCTGGGTAGGTGACAGGGGACTGGGCAACGGTCACAAACCCGCCCAGGACCTAACTCGTGTAACCACTAAATAAGAATTGTACAGCCCTATGGTATCTTATTCTAAAATCTGTAATAACTATTTTAAATGAAAAAGTTAAAAATGCAAATACTTCTCAAAAACACAAAACCCACCTGCTCATTCACAAAGCATTTGTGTTGGGGTTTGTTGTTTGAAATCGCTATGAAAATAAAACTTAAGAACGTTCAGGACAGAGTACAATTTGCCTCTAATTTATTCTCAGATTTGCTGTGAATATTGCTCCCCGCGTTGTCATGGCAACACAAGCACATCTCTCAGTACCGAGGAAGTAACAAGCCTTTCGATTCTCACCTTTGGCCATTTTATTGAGAACCATGTCAATTAGAATGTAGGTTCCACTTCTTCCCGCACCATCGCTGCCAACAGAAAGGGAAAAAGAAAAAAAAAAAGCCTATCAATGTGCATCTAGACTCAACATGAAGATACCTGCCCTTAATGTTATACTGTTACACGTGGGGGGAGAGGACACAATGAGGGGCTAAAGTAGGGTACTGAGAGAGAAGAGAAAGCTTGCACTGAATTAACACAGCCCTTCGTGGAAAATTAACGATGAGCCTGAATGAATAACGGGGCTTTGTTTTGATTTTTTAAGCCGAGTTGTCTCTATGCAATAAAAGCATTTTAAACAACAGTGGAAAATTCAGTAACCCTAAAACAGGATACCATTTCTGTTCAAAAAGTGTGCATATAATGAGCTTATAGTCACTTGCATATGAGATCAAGAACCACAGAATAAACTAGACCAGAACATTATCCTGAATGGTCCCAAAATGTCATGGATTGCATCCGAACACAGCGGTCAGAGGGAATGCATGCAGAGACCTGTCTGAGAACCGGAATATTTGATTCCTGAGGGATTGCAGTCTTTCTTCACTATGCGTCATGAGTGATTTGTTTTTTCTTTTTACCTTTTCCTTTAATTCTTCCTTAGTTGCAATGACCAGAAAAAATATTGTCATGTAATTCCTAAGAAACAGCTTTAACTTTTGTGTATCATCAGCCCTTCCTCAGAGACGTGAGACCAAGCCCTGGGAGGGGGAAAGCTCCCTAATCTGAATGCAGCTTGTGTCCCTTTCAGAGAGCAACATGTAATTGCCAGCGTGATGCTCTTTTAGAGCTGCTGTTAGCAAACATAATTAAGACTTTAAGTAAAAGCTTTTTTTCTTTCCGTCCCCAAAATTTTTACAAAGGTGCATGTGTGACCAATTAGACTGGTATGTAGTTTTATTAATTAAGCCATTATTTTTATTGATAGCTCAATTTGTGTACAAGAACTAATGAAAGGAAAAATAATAGAACAGCGTGAAGCGCGTTATTACATTCTGTTTACAGGCAGTCTATGAAACTTAATTTTTGTTAAGTCTCTGTAGACAGAGGTTTTTTTCTTTCAGTAACTAGATCACTGCTTAGAGAAAAGGAGGTAATGGTAATAATTTTTTTTTCTATGCCTATGAAGGGAACAAAGGCACAATCTTATTAGTTAAGCTGAATAATGAGAGGCAAGGCAGCGATCAGGCCCAATAAAAACAAAAACTACTCCGTGGATGGTAGACATTTCCATCCATCACAGTAAGGAAAGAGCAAGAAACTTGAAGGCTCTTCATTCTGCATCAAATGTTTCTTTTCTCAGGCTTCCTGAAGGCAATGCAAACAAGCCTGCTCCAGAGCATTCGCCTCTGCAGCGAACCTCTTCGCATCCAGTGGAAGGTGACTCTGCTGAGCCAGAGGTGAGAAACATGTCCCCTCCGTCCTCACTCCCACCCAAAGTGGAGCGCCACATGTCAAACAACCTGCCTCTTAGCAGGGCTGGTTTTCTGTCTTTCTTATCGACAAGAATACCATCGATAAATGAGTTCAGCATTCTCCTTATAACACAGAACCTCCAATGGCAAAGCCAAACATTAATGTTATTATGGTAAAGTTTTCCGTTGACCTGCCCTGTGCATCTATCAGACTGTCAGGCCTAAAGATAATCTGTGCTTAAAGGATTACTCAGTCTCTAGGTAGGTTTCCACTCCCTGACATTGCTCTCTTCTTACCATGATCACTGAAAGCAAGCAAAGAAGAAATAAAACATAATTGAATGTTAATAAAATAAAGAAGACTAAATTGGGAGGGAATGCAAGGAACCACTATCATTTTCAAGGAGATTTATGAAACTGAAGTGCTATTTATATTGGAAAGGGTGGCCATACATTGTTAAGTCATGACACAACATCTACGAAATCATAGGAAAGGACAGTTTTATTATGTAAACTGATCCTAAGTATTAATTAGCATTAAAAAACAGTTGAATTATATTTAATACCTTCAGCCTACCTCACTATCTGTTTAGTGATTTATCTAAATTTGCCCATTTTATTTATATCTATATTAAATTCTCACACATACAAATCTCTCTAAAGCTATTTTAGAAATTGTACTTGCCTGCAATGAACAACTACTGGACAAGAGCGACCCCTGTAGCACTTGTTTACTTTTCTGAAATAAAACAGACACAAAAAATTAATTAAGCATATTACATACTGTTTCTTTAGCCAACTGTCAAAAAAAAGCAATAAGAAAAAAGCAAATGTTGCAGCCTTTAAAGAAACAGTCAGGTTGATAATTTCCTAATATAACAAGCAATTGTTACATACATAATCTTGTTTAAAGTTTGCTTCTGCTTTGCTGCTGTAGAAATCCCAGACAACATCCCATTATTACTGTTGGCTAGGCAAAATAAATAATCTCTTTTTCTCAAATGTCTTATGTCTTAGCTCCAAAACTAAGATTATCTTGAGATGCTTTAATTTTAAAGCCAACTTTGAGTTCATGAGCGTGCTCAAAGAAATATTGCGGGGCATCAAACTGAATCCAAAATTAAAAATGGCTATTCCAGTATACTTTGTACAATGTGTGCTGATTTGAAAAACCAGTCCTCCCCAGCAAGGCAAATACCAAATCTCCTGAAAAGCTTCTCACAAAATTTTAAAATGTAATCTCTTGTGGTAAAAATAACTAAAACCATCAGTAAGCTTTACTGCTTTGGTTCTAGTGCAGAAGTCTTATATATTTAATATTTAATATTTACACATTATTGTCTTCCACAGCTTCCTTGTTAAACATTGTCAGTGGCAAGAGAATATACGTGAAGTCAATCAATAAAAGTACAGCTATAGAACAGGTCTGCTGATATGTAAACTCAATGAAGGAATTAACTAGTGCTGAAGCAAAGCCAGAATAGAGCCCACAAAAAATAAGAATAGAGCCCACAAAATTGGTTTAAATCTATTTAAATTGCTTCACAAAAACCAAAATCCCAAACCTCCTCTTCTGCTCTAGGATATATTTTGCATGTCAAGTATGTTACAGGCCCAAAAAACCATAAAATATGCACACATATGTTAACAAGGCAAGCTGAATAAAGGCTAAAATGGGAAAGCATTGCTTCAAGAAATTAAAACCTTTCATTCAAGTTCCTTGATGAGATGTCTGAGTTTACTGGAGCTAGAAGGTCTCCTATAGAACCATGTTACAGGGCAGCTTCCAAGGGGTACCCAGACCCTCTAATGAGCCCCACCTCAGTGCAAGTGTTACATAGGATCCTGACTGCTAAACTGAAGTGAGCTGCTGAAATTTGGCAACTGTGGTACGATGTTATGAATTTTAAAGCATAACTAACCTACTGAATCATTTAGTTCTTGGCTGTTCATCTATTCACTAACATCTGTGCTGTGAAAACATGCATATATCTTTAAACATTGCTTACAGTATAGCCTGAAGATGCCTAAACTTCTAAATTTGACAGGGAGTCAGGATACCTGGAACTCAACCCAAACAGGCTACGGAGATGTTGGTGATGTCCCATGAAACTGTGTTTTCACATTCTGCTTTTTATTATTTAAGATTCTAATCGAACTTGATAACAATATTAAGTTTGTGTAATGATTCCCTTTAAACACTAGAATTCAGGAATTTTTCTCAATTCTTACTCTTTTGCTTACTGATGTAAATCATACTTGCAGAGGCATTCTGTCTCTGTACTCCTTGGATGTAAGTAATTAATGCAGCAGAACTATGAAATAAGTGGTAACTCATTGAGAAGCAACTGACTTTAGAAGTTAAATGGATCATTTATATGTCCATAAATGCATATATACGCAGGTACTGCCATGCAAAACTTCAATGACTTAAGCTGCAGTAGAGTTTTCACATGAATGTAACATTCAGTTCTTGATGGTCATATCTAAGGATCAACTCCTTCTATAGAACATAAAGCCTGATATTTATTTTTTGTATTGTACAGTAAATTATATTTGAAATGTCTGTAACAACATCTGACACAGTCGGTCTGCATTCCCCTACGTGCAGCTGGTCATCCTCCCCCCGTCCCCCATCATGTGCATTAGTAAAGAGTCATTTCTGCATTTAAAGTATTTCATAAAAGCTAGTAACTACAGAGGGGTGTTTACCATTCCTTTTTCTGCTTGTGTGGCTCCTTTGTTCCTTGTATGGCACCACTAACGTGATATTTGCGTGTTGTGACTAGCCATCTACCAAAGCCCTAATATAGTATCAATGACAGACTTGATCTAAACCTATCAGTAAATCAGACCTCCCAGTAAATCAGACAGCCAGAGACACATGTTAGGG